GATTGCTTTTACTAGGTTTGTAAATCAGATTGAGAGGTGTGGAGAGAGGGTTGAGATCAAGCTTATGTCAGTAGAATGTATATGAATGTAATATACAAGTAACAGACTAAACAGAAAGGAAATAGTGATTTAGCTGGAAGCATGGCAAGAAAAATCTGCTAGTATTGTCAAATGCATCAGGAGTAATATTTTCTGCAAAGCCTAAATTATTCTGATAGCCTACATCTCATTCCCAAAAGTCTATCCTAATACATTCAAGAAAATTAGTAGAATCGTAGAATACAAGGTTGGAAAAGGAACCTCAAAGATCATCTGGTCCAACCTTTCTTGGCAAAAGCACAGTCCAGACAAGATGGCCCAGCACCCTGTCCAGCTGAATCTTAAAAGTGTCCAATGTTGAGGAATCCACCACTCCCATGGGGACATTATTTCAATGGCTGATTGTTCTCATTGTGAAAAATTTTTCTCTTGTGCCCAATTGGAATCTCATCAGGAGTAATTTGTACCCATCACCCCCCATCTTTTCAATGTGTCTCCTTGTAAAAAGGGAGTCTCCATCTTCTCTGTAGCCACCCTTTAATACTGGAATGTGGTGATAAGGTCTTTCCTAAGCCTTCTTTTCCCAAGGCTGAACAAACCCAGTTCTCTCAGCCTTTCCTCATAGGGCAGGCTTCGCAGTCCTTTAATCATCTTTGTGGCCCTTGTCTGGACCCCCTTCAGTCTGTCCACATCTTTTTTGCATAGCAGGGACCAAAGCTGAACACAGTATTCCCAGTGTGGCCTGACAAGCTCTGAGTAGAGGTGGATAATGACTTCTTTATCTCCACTAGTGATGCCCTTGTTGATGCAATGCAGCATCCTGTTGGCTCTTTGCCACAGCAGCACATGGCTCACTCACCCCCAGGTCCCTTTTCACAGAGCTGTTTGCCAGCCAGGTAGATCCCAGCCTGTGCTTCACTCCTGGATTATGTTTTCCCAGGTGCAAGACCTTCCACTTGCCCTTGTTGAACTTCATAAGGTTCTTGTTAGCCCACTCTTCCAGCCTATCCAGGTCTCCCTGCAGGGTAGGTCTCCCTTCCTACTCAGTTTGGTATTATCAACAAACTTCATCAGTGTACTTGATCCCATCATCTAGATCAGTTATGAAGATATTAAACACCATTGGGCCCAGTATCAATCCCTGGGGGACCCCACTTGTGACAGGTTGCCAGTTTGACAAAGAGCTGTTTACCACCACCCTCTGGGTGCGGCCTGTCAGCCAGTTCCCCACCCACTGCACAGACCACTTATCTAGACTGTAACGCATCAGTTTCTCTAGGAGGAGGTGATGGGAAACCATATAGAAAGCCTTGGAGAAATTCAGGTAGACAATGTCCACCGCTTGCTCCACACCAACCGAGTAGGTTACTTTGGTGTAGAAGGCACTCAGATTCGTCAAGCACCATTTGCCCTTGGTGAATCTGTGCTGGCTTTTCCCAATCACGTGCTTCATTTGACTTGCGGTAGGCCCCAGGAGGATTTGGTCCGTAACCTTCCCGGGGACTGAAGTAAGACTGATGGACCTACAATTTCCTGGATTCTCCTTTAATCCTTTCTTGTAGATGGGGGTGACATTAGCCTTCTTCTGGGGCATCCCCCAATCTCCACAACTCCTCAAAGATTATGGAGAGTGGCCTTGCAATTATGTCAGCCATCTTTCTTAATACCCTTGGGTAGATAATGTCAGGGCCCATTGATTTGTAGGGGACAACCTCCTGTAATAGCTCACATACCAACTTGTCCTTCACTGACAGTGGATCTCCATTTGCATCAATCTGGATTTTTGTTCCCAAGGCCTGGGGCCCAACCGTGCTGGTAAAGACAGAGGTGAAGAAAGTGTTGAGAACATCTGCCTTTTCAGCGTTGTTGGTGACTAATTCACCTCTCCTATTTAACAGGGGGACAATATTTTCCTTCTGTTTCTGTTTGTTGTTTACGTACCTGAAGAATCCTTTCTTGTAGTTTTTGGCCAATCTCTGGCCAATTTCAATTCAAGCTGAGCTTTCGCTTTTAGAACTGCACCTCTGCACGCCCTGGCAATGCCCTTGTAGTTCTCAGTGGGTATTTGTTTGCTTTTCCATCTCTGGTATGCTTCTCTTTTGGTCGCAGTTAAGCCAAGGGGGTCTCTTGCTCTGCCTACTTACCTTACCTTTTAAGGTGACAAACTGTTTTTCTGCTTTTAGGAGAGCGTCCTTGAAGAACTCCCAGCACTCGCTAGCTCCTTTATCCTCCATGGAAGCTTCCCATGGAATCCCTCCCAACTGAGCTCTGAGCGAGCTGAAGTTTGCTCTTCTAAAATCTAAAACGTTTGTCTTAGCACTAACCTTCAGCATGCTCAGCAGGATTCCAAACTCCACACTACTGTGATCACTGCAGCCAAGGCTATGCTAACCAAGATTATTACAAAGAAGGTTTTCTTGGTTTGTGAGTAGCAAGTCCAGTAGTGCCTCATTCCTGGTTGGCACATCTAACATTTGTATGAGGAAGTGGTCCTCTATGCAGTCCAGGGACTTGATGGATGATATGCGAGCTGCTGTATTGTTCTTCCAACAAATGTCTGGGTAGCTGAAGTCACCCATAAGAACCAGGTTCTGTTGGCCCGAAGCTTGCTTAAGCAACCCAAATACTGCTTCGTTTGCCTTATTGTTTTGGTTTGGAGGTGCCACCACGTTTCAGTTGTTCCCATGATACCATAACTCTCTGGGCATGGAGCTCCAGTTCCTCCTGTTTATTCCCCAGGCTGCGTGCATTGGTATACACACACTTGAGTTGTTGGTCTTCTGGTTCTCATATTGGGAGTCAGCTAAGGAACACGGCGCTGCTCTGGTTGGCCTGGCTTATTCCGCAGTTGGTTGCAATGGTGTGAGCATTGCCACTTTGGACCCCATCCCCTGAGTCCTTCAGTTTAAAGCCCACTTCACCAAGTTGGCCAGCCTGCTGCCAAAGAGTCCCTTGCCTCTTCTAGGTGTGTGGATCCCATCCCTCTTGAACAGGCTATAGCCATCAAAAAATGTCCTGTTGTCATAAAAGCCAAAACCCTCATGACAGAACCAGCCATGAAGCCAGAAGTTGATTTGCATTATATGTCTATTTCTGGCTGCATCAAAAATTAATTTGGGTTGGGTTAAATAAAAAGACAAATTTAAAGTGCATTAGGGTATATCCACATAGTGAAAAACTAACAAGCTACCAAATACTCTTATCTGTGGTAGCTCCTGCATGTCCCTAGCCTGCTGCAAAGTGGAAATTTAATTAATTAGCTGGAAGCGTCATGAAAGGATATCATTTTTTGAGGTTGGTTTGGTTTGGTTTTTTTTAATTCTGGCAAGATATCTTTTTCTTTTTGCTTTGTTGTACCTTACTTATACATTAAGCTTAAACAAAGCTGTGAATGAAGAGTGGTCTCATTACTTCATGTATGTGCACACACATACGTTCACAGCTCCTTATTCCTAAACAAAACTGGAATCTTGTTCAACATCTGCCTTTATTGCTATGCCTTGTAAGAGCTGAAGAGAGGTTATTTAGCAGATCAAAGCAGAAGTGTGACAAAGTGATAACGCTATGTTTGAATCCTCCTCTGATACTGACCAAATCATGTTAGTAAGGTGCTGTAATGCTGGCATCTTCACAGACTGTCAAAACACTGGCTTTTAGCTGGCAGAGGAGCGCTTGCTGCTGGCCTTAGTAATATGTTTGAGGCTGTTTCTAAAAGAGGGATTTTAACTCCATGAGCACTGCCTGCTTGGTTTAGCGTTAGAAATTTGCTGGCTCCTTTCTGATGGATCAGCAGAAGGTGTCTGGAAATTTCTCTGAGCGCTGAGTTTGCAGCGGCAGATCTGTAGCAGTGAACTGCAAGGAGCAACAAAGTTTGATGAGACAGGAAAGCTGCCATTCTAAACTGGCCTGTAGTTTAGGATTTTTTTTAATTGGGGAACTTACCAATGGGGTATCAAGGCTTTCAATGCAAGAATTGTTTACCCTATGGGAATATAAATTACATTGAGTGTATGTGGTAAATTTTGTTTCTGAATAAGTTTGTTGAGTCCACTTAGGATAAAACCTGACTTCATCCAAACATTTAATGAGGCTTTTTATTAACCCCAACATTTAATGAGATGTTTTATTAACTATTTATGCAAACTGAACAAAATGTAATTTCCGTGAGTTTGTTTATTGGTTAATTCATAAAGGATAATTTCTAAGAAACCTGTGACTTCTCATTTCAAATTAATTTCATCACAATGTTTTGATTTATAATTTCAAAGACAAAATGGTAACCTGTTTGGGAAGGATCTGAATCTGTGAGATCCTTTGTTCCCCCTTGACTTCACTGTAGTCTCGTTAATTCATAGGATAGTGTTCAGATAAATGATTAGGATTATCCCCACAGCAAATTTTACAGTATTTGTATATGACTGTTTTCTTTCTCAGTCAGTGCTGCGAGAATTGTTGTGCTTTATGCAAGAAGTTACTATAAATAAAAAGGTCTTGATTCATCATTGTGTTACTGCCGAGTTACGTCACTGTCATTCCAGTATGAATGTCCAGGATCTTAACTGTTGTCTTGCAGTGATAAGGAGTTCATTTGGATACTTAGTTTTATGTCTTTGGCAACTCTTTGGGTCTTTAAAATCCCACAGCGATATTTGAAAAGCATAATATTTAAAAATGGAAAGTCTCCTGTCCAAAGAGTTTGGGAGAGAACAGATGTCTCGGAGGAAGGGAAGTGCTCACTAGCTACTTAATACTGGAGTGTCAGAGCATTCTGGGGGAAGATTAGGAGTGCTTTGAACAGACTGTTATTTTTATAGTGTTCTACTGATGTAATACCAGAGAAAACCATCAATGGGCTAGTCCCAGAAAATCTACTCCAGAATTATGACACCATAACAGAGATCCTATGGTTGACAAAGTGTGTTACATACTTCTGATGAATTTATATTTTGTTCCATTTTCAGTGTCAGCCAAACCAAGACCTCACAGTGATGAATACACAAAGAAGATTCCACCTCCTAAACCGAAACGAAATCCAAACACTCAGCTAAGCACATCTTTTGATGAAACGTATATCAAAAAGCATGGCCCTATGAAGACAACACTCACTAGGGATGCCTCTCTATCGCAGGTCAGCAGTCCTGCCCCAGACACAGAGGAAGAAGAGCCTGTTTATATTGAAATGGTTGGGAATATTCTCAGAGACTTCAAAAAAGATGAGGATGACCAAAGCGAAGCAGTCTATGAGGAGATGAAATACCCTATATTTGATGATGTAGGCCAAGATTCAAAATGTCAATGTGAATATGACCATCACACTTGTTCTTCTCAGTGTGCTACTCCCACAGTGCCTGACCTAGATTTCACCAAGTCTTCAGTGCCATCTACTCCCAAGGGCTTGCTTTGTGATATACCCCCACCATTTCCAAATCTGCTTTCTCACAGACCTCCACTGCTGGTGTTCCCACCAGCACCAGTGCAGTGTTCCCCGAATTCTGACGAGTCTCCTCTAACTCCACTAGAGGTCACAAAGCTTCCCGTTTTAGAAAACGTGTCTTACATCAAACAACAAGCTGGAGCTTCTCCATCTTCACTGCCACCTCATACACCAGGCCATCAAAAACTGGAGAAGGACCAGACAGTATCTCATGGAACTAGCACCCCTGGGCACACCTCCTCACCTCCTCATCCTTCTACCTTATACAGAACACAGTCTCCACATGGTTATCCTAAAAGTCACTCTGCCTCACCTTCTCCTGTCAGTATGGGTAGGTCTCTTACCCCCTTAAGCCTCAAAAGACCTCCACCTTACGACTCTGTACATTCAGGAAGTCTCTCAAGAAGCTCTCCATCAGTGCCTCATTCTACAGCCAGAAACACATTGCAAGAAGGAGGAAAGATGGTAAACGCCTCGGTCAGTACCTACGGGTCATCATCTCAGAGTGGTTCCCGTTCTCGGACACCCACCAGTCCTCTCGAGGAACTAACCAGCCTCTTTACCTCAGGACGAAGTCTCCTGAGGAAGTCCTCCAGTGGCAGAAGATCCAAGGAACCTGCAGAAAGTAAGTTCTTGATGTAATTTTTCCTCGTTCTTCCTCGTATAATATCATCTTTCACTATATTTTACTAAATCAAACACTTGTAAAAATCAAATACCTCAGATGTCTGAATTCCTTGTATAAATTTATTTTAATGGAAAGAAAAGTGGTTATTGTTAAAATTGCCTTAATATTGATATTGTTATATTTTTAAGATTTTTAAGCATGCATACTGCACTACAGAAGTACGATTTGTGGCTTGGTCTTGCAAAAGGAGTCAGTTTTCATTAACTTATTTACAGTCATAAAGGTCTCATGTGAGTTAGGATCTTCCCACCATGTCACATTCTTCCTTTCTTGGTGGATGGTAAGACACAGTGATTGTCCAAGCAGCTTGTAGCAAAATAACCAAACAGTAGTTGTTTTTTGGCGAAGATCCATTGATCGCCCTTAACTTGGCCAGTGATCATGGCATGTATGATGGCAACCAGAGGTACCAGCTTAAACCATTCCTCTCCTTCCCACTGCCTCCTTCCGTACTGTGCCACAGAGTGTCTATCAGCTGTGCTAGTGTGACTGGTGGGGAGGCCGTACTGTGAATCCATCTGAAAACCAACGTGACCTATAACGCATTACACACACACAGAGAAGAGCACGGGAGGAAGTTGTGCAGGAAAACCTTAAGCCAATATTGACTTTTCATGTGCTGTGTCATAAAATCATGCATTTACGTTTACGCAACGAACACCTGTTTCTGAGCTAGTGAAATATGGAAACTCCTAATGAAATCAGCAGGAGTCACAGGTGTGAGCGAAAGCAGAACCTGGCACCAGTATTTCTCTTGCAAAAACGTTCCCGTTCGGTGATGCCAAAGACAATGTCTTGCAGCGGAAGGTAGCCATAACACCTCTTGTCAGAGTGCAAAGTGGGCTCAGTATGCTTTCTCCTCTTATCTTTGTGTAAGTGCGATGTTATACCTATTTGGCAGCTGTAACATATTAATACAGTGTGATAAACTACGCTGGTTTATACCTGATAAAGGAAGGTGTTCTGGTTTCCAGGATACCATATCGCTACAGAAGAGAAGTGAAGTCTGCTCTGCCTTTCTGGTTGTGTTTGTGCCACTCTGTTACGTTACTCATCACAGTGTGGCCGCATCACTTTGGGGCACGCTCACAAGAACACCCCCTCTGGGTTCTCATGGGCAGGGGTTGCCTGCCTCGCACCTCTGCAGCTGAGTGCATACATGCAAACGTGTAAGTATGGAGAAGCTCGGTGACAGTGGTTTGGGTTGGCATACAAAGCATTCCTCCTGGTTCATGGACACCGCTGCCCCAGCCTCAGCAGTTTTATTCTTATTTATCTGCGCAAATCAGGAATAATGACTCTGAAATCAGAAAGTGGGGGCAAGAATTGAGTTAGCAGAATACTGAGAATATGAGTTGGTGCAGCAGTTTGCTTAATTTGGCTTTAATATTTCTGTGGCCTGTAATCATAAATACTGTTTTATGAAAGTGTTAGTACTGTGATTCAGTAAGGTTTCAATAAGTGATTACAGTAATAAAAATACAATACTGCTGGATTTGTGTGCTGGATGGAAGCAAGTTTGTACCTAAAAGGCAAGATGATTCGTATAATTGGGAACAATTATGAGAGATGTGATGTGACATTTATAAATAATTGCAGTGAAGTGGTAGGGAGATTTTGGGAAAGTGCAGGCAATATTGAACATCATTAAACATGTTTCTTATTCGTAAGTGAGCAGAAATCCCCTGTAAACCCCATGCTACACCAGATCTATGTGGTGAGCTTCATAAGTTGAACAGCTTTATGGTCGCTGATATAGGCAGAAGTACCAGGTTTGGAACCTATAGAAATTCCTGCAGCGAATGTGGCAAGTCCTGGGAAATTTCAGCAAATTTCAGTTGCTGTCTCATACCTACCTCCGGAAAGATATTCTCTATATTCCACTTGACTGAAATTGAATGCAGACCTTTCAAGGGACTTTTCACTGATAAATTTAAAATAAATCTTGCCCTGCAGATCTGTACGAAGAAGAGCTTTCTTCTTAGCCTCTCAAGGAGCAGTCTTCTTGCTCTTTAGGAAGTAGAACTGTGCTCCTTATTGGTCACAAATGGTAAGACAAGAGAGATATGAAATAGAAACTGTGTTCATTTACTTTAAGGACAAAGCATTCATGTTATAAATAGACACCAGTGTTGAAAAGACTCTGGAGTGCAGCTGTGTTGAGTAAATGAACAGACTGCCCATCTAATCCAATTGTAATTTGTCTGGTATTTACAGTATGACTTAATCCTGTGGGATTACTGCACTGAACAAGAACCAGGTTTGTGCTCAGATATTACAGAGGTAGAAGACACTCTAAGATTTATAGAAAACACATACAGGTCTAGCATTTTATGTCTTGCAATTCTACGTTAAAATGATCCACCATATAAATTGTGGGATTTTAATGTAGAATCTGACCAGACTGTCACATTTACATGCTGTGATTATACATAGTGATAGATAGCGTAGACTGGACAATCTGTTAAAATCTTGCTCCTGCAAATCACATTGGAAGCCCAAGGCACTCCATACAATCTGGATTATTTTTTTTTTTAAGCTATGGGAGAGCAAACGCTGGACTAACTGGGACTGCCACGGTTTTATAGTTTTCAGTTCAGTGTAATTTGCTGTCAGCATACAGAAAGATTTCCAGAATCTAGAGGATAATAAACATACACAAAAAAAGAATTTATATGGCTTCTATGAAATCATGCTAGGAAACTAAGAGTATTTGCTTCTACGATATAAAATTATTCTGAGCACATCTCAAGCAACTTTCTCACTGAATCCTCCAACACTCAGCCCTCTGTGACTTGTCTGAAGCTCTCACTGCCATATGCTAGTCAAAAAAAAAAATAGCACAATACTAAATTTTATATTCATCTGAGTGTATTTGGAAAATATTGCAGCAGTTACAGAGAAAATTCTTTCTCATCTTTATTGTTATTGCTACAACTGACTTTGTGGAAATTTGGCATCTGAATCCAAACTCAAGATGTATTTGCTGGCTTTTCATTTGTGGCGGTTTTGAGTGGGTTTCTTTTTGAGGAGGGGGCCTGCTCAAACTTTATTTCCAGTCAACATCTTTAATATACAAGCAAAGCTGCCCTTTTAGCCTTTCTGTATTATTTTCTTTACTCTTCTGCCATTTTTGCTTTTTTATCCCCCTCCGTTTTATTCCTGTAGAGTTCATTGGAATTGCACTGGTGGAAAATCAGGATAAATCAGTGACACTGAGGAGACTGTCACCTCAGGGCCGCGTTTTCTGAGGATACAAGCTTCCATTGGAGCCCCAGACTTGTTGCTGAATGCACTCAGCATCCACCGGCTGCAGCTGTGGTCTGCGTATCTGGATTTTATAAACAGCTCACTTATTGTGCTGTGTTCTTCTAAAAGTCCTCCTGTGTGCTGTTAGCATCTTAAATATGCATTACAGCACAATTATGAAGGTGGGGAGAAAAGAACAAAGAAAAATAAATTGTAAGGCCAAATCAGAAATGAAAAAGTTGTTGGGAGATGATCACAAAGGCAGGCATAAAGATGGAGAGAACCCCTATGGAAAACTGAAGAAAAATGTAGAGCATGAACAATATGAAAGAGCAGAGAAGATAGATATTATTAATTGTCATTGCCTGTTCTTTAACCCTTCCTGCTTTTGTGTGGGATAACATGGTAGTATGCACTAACAGTTGGCAGTCCGTGGTGAAATACGATGTCAGTCCTCAGAGGTTAGAGGGAAACTCTTTAAAGGGTACAGACACTGCCTAGTGTCCTTGGGCTGCTGCAGTGTGTCCTTTGCTAATACAGTTGGAAGGTGTTTAAGTACGACCATTCAATCCAGCTGTATTGAATGACACATTCCCTTTGCTTTTAGCATATGCACCGAGTGTCTGTGTTACCCATGTCCTTCAGTAAAGAGGGAATTATGGAGGGAGAGAGGGAGGGAATGCTCTTCAGATTTCTGGAGCTGTATTTGCTGCCTTTTCTGCACCATAGAAACATGCTGTACTCTGTGAAAATCTAGAACTGAAGTCATGTGCCTATAGGCATGCCCATATCCTAAAAAGCAGAACAGAGAAGCTGGTGGCATGCATCTGACCTGCACTCGCTTCAAGGCAGTACGTTTTTTCTGGGTGAAATGCTCCTGGAAACCCTTGCCAGGACCAGCCCTTTCTGTTTGTGTATTGGTTGTTTCCATTTGTTAAGGCTGCAGTTTCCTCATAATTTCCTGGGAACTTCACGCCTCTTTTGAGCAAGTATTGCGAATATTCATCCTAATGAACTGCACAACATAATAGTTACCTCTGCTGCGTGCCCTGACTCTGTGCACGAGTTGTGAGATCAAGACACGCGATGCACAGCAGCTCATTGCTCTTCTCCTTAGCTGCTCTGCAGGGCTTCAGAGCTGCCTTGGCTTTCGCCTACGGGGAGTTTTGCTCTTCAGCTTCTAGTCACATATAGGGAGGAAATCTGTGAAAGTGCTACTTTGAAAATTCAGCTAAAGTGATTGAAAAGTGGGATAATTATTAACATTTCCTGTTCCTGGCTGGTACCCACTGCATTAGGAATCTAAAACATTTTATTGTAAGCTGTCAAATAGTGTGGGGAGGGGAGGGGTGCAGAGGTGGCTCAACTTGTCAAAAAGGAGTTCATGCTGATTTCAGGCGGCAGAGACCCTTCCATGAAGAAATTGTGGAGAAAGAGTGGAAATTTTTACACACACACACTTCTTTTTTTTTTTTTTTTTTTTTTTAATGCTGGGGCTTTCTAAGGAGCTAGAAAGCAGCTTTGGGTTCCCTGCCAGATTGAATAGTATGCTGGAAAAGAGATTTTGGGAAATGAGTCAAGTGAAAATTCACCCCATGGTGGGTCTGTTCTGTTGTTTAACCTCCACCTCCATGCATTAAACGCGGGATGAGGGATGTAGAGAGACAGGACAGGATTTCAGCATGTGT